TGTCTGCTCAAAAGGCTCAAACGACCCGGAGGGTGTAACCACCGTCGGTGGAACATTCACGACTACCGCCAAACACAGGGGAACAAGTACACACCTTGAAGGGACCCATCCGCCCGCTGGCGGCCCACGTGATCTTGCTGTCTTGCGATAACACCTCCAGGTCCTTCACCTCCCGGCAGTGCTCGTTGTACTCTCCCACCCTCGAGTTGTCGGCGAACAGCAGGTACACCACCTCCGGGGGAACGGAGAGGATGGCGCTCGCCTTCACGCAAGCGAACTGCGGGGGCCTGAACTTGCCGCTATCCTCACCTACCGGCGCGGGATCATCGGCGGAGCCCTCGACCCGCCCCCCGACCGAGGCCGAATAAGCCTCCGCCTTAGGAACTCCTGCGGCCTGCGCGTGCGCCGCCGGCGCCGCGGGCGCCTCCGGCGTGCCGTCGGGGCCAAGCGCAAGGTACTGCCGGTGCACGACTACCCCTTCCCGCTCAACGACCACTTCCCACCCATCCCGTGCAACCACGTCGACCACGTTCTGCACGATCTTGTCGGTGAGCAGCTGCAGCTCCCTCATCTTTCTCCGCTCCGCCTCGCCCTCCTTACCCATCCCCAGCTTATCTCCGCCCGAGCCGTCGGGGTTCTGCCTCTTCCGCAGGCCGAGCAGAAACAGTTCCCGGCCTCGCCGGCGCAACAACTCTGCGCAGCCTGCGATCCGGATGCCAACATTACCAGAGGCGTTGGCCGCCGATAGGAGTCTTTCTGCCCGGCGGAACCCTTCGCCCGTGAGTTCCGAGAGCTGGGCTGTCAGATGGGTGAGGTGCTGCCGTATGACGATCGCCGCCGCCGGGATGGTTTCTCGAGCACGTCGTCTTCTCATGCGCCAGGCGTCCAGGTTGGCAGACAGCTCTGCCCGTATACGCCGAAACCGTGGAGCGCTGCTGTTGTCGCGGTCCTTTCGGTGGTAACGATATCGTCGCCGCCGTCGCCGTCGGATGTGTCGTTGTTGTCGTCCGTACCCTTCCGCAGAAGCAGACTGCTGTTCGTCTGGCTTGAGTGTTCGTTGAAGTGCAAGCGTCGATCCCGAAGCGACTATCGCTGCCATGGTGGCACTCCAACACTCGAGATCGGCCTCCTCCCATTCCTCGCCCGCCGGCTGATCGTCCACAACAAGACCCCTCTTGTGCTGCGCCTCGAACCTTCCTGTCTGAGGGTACCGACTCCCGAAGTCCTGCGCTCGTTGGGGAGTGCAGCCGTAGTGCGGGACATGTCGCCGATGCTGTTGTTGATCAGGTATTGCGCCAGTGGCACCCCCCGACATCGAGTGACACTCCAACAAGAGCAGGGTTGCGGCCAGAATGGCCACCCGCTCTCGAAGCATAAGGTTTTCTCCCTCTCTGCTTCTCGCCCACGTGCTCTGTGCTGCTGTGTGTCTTGCACGCCGGTGTGCTGTGCTGTTGCAGTGGCGGTAGGACAAGGGGCCCGCGGGATGGAAGTGAAGTGGGGCGGTGGTGAAGTAGGTTTTAAATAATCGAAGTTGCGTTTCGGCGAAACTGTCGTTATCGCGCCGCAGTGAAGGAGGCCAGCGGCGGGATAATATGGTGATGAGGTCATGCGCAAGCTCATGTGTGTAACAAACCAGCTTGTCATACACACAATTCAAATTAAAAACCAAACGACCACTTAGTCTGTTGAAGTAATGGCCACCCAACCTTACGTGAACCAAACGTTCATCGATGCTGTACAGTCCCACTCCTTGAGTTAGTCTGGAGTTAAGGTTCTGTGGTCTGTGGTTCGCCGGTCTTCGGCGCAGAGCAATGGCAACACTACAGGAATCCCAGTACTCCGTGTACCCCATGGGAGAAACTAAAGCTGCAGCACCTAACTTTAGTGATCTCGGCAAGCCGACGTTCACTGTCGACATCACGCGCCTGCAAGCTGAGCTGAGAGCGTTGCACCAACGCCTAGAGTTTCTAGAGGTTGCCGCCCAGGTTGCTGCGGTAGCACATGGAAAGGATCAGGATCCAGATGAGGGGTCAGCATCCTCGACAGTCGAGAGCATTCCTAGCGCCGATGCTGCAGGAAGGGAGACCCATCCCGATGAGTTCGATGGTAGTTCTATTGCGGACGACTTGACGACCGAGACGAAAGCGGGGGAGACGCCACACAGGTACGAGTATCGCCAGCGTTCATTTGGGGATACGTGTTGGCGGGGGATGTCTTTGGGGCGACAAGCATGTTACGAGCGTGAAATATTAGCTACACAGGTTTGTGCTCTGTGTCGCATGCCTTTCAACTGCACATTGTGCAGGATTCGAAGAACGGAGCGTGGGACGGGCGTGTCGTTGCGACTGGTTTTGTTCGTATGTGGTGTCCTGTTCGGTGTACATTTACCACAAGCTTGAGATCTGTAATGGCGATACTGAAGCACAACACGCGCTGCACATCTTTAGCTCCACGTTGGACATGCGCTCTAACTCCCCCCAACTCTACCCGCTACCCTACAACGTTGGACATCTCGGCACATCAAGAAAATGCCGACGTAGATACCTCAATGGTAACAATGGCTGGCGTGCAGTAGTTTGGAGCTGAAGGCAGGAATGCTTCCAAGAGTTACGTCGTTGAAGAGGCCACAGCATCCTTTCGGTGCTGTCTTTGCCTCGCAAAAATACGTTTTAGAACGGCCTCCTTCTTCTTGGGTCAGTGTCCGCTCCCGTTCGTCACAGCGGCTTGAGCCCCCACGAACGTGCTCCAATTCCCCCACGTGCAGCCCGCTGATGCGCAGCGCTACCGGCCTTCGGAAAAAGGCCGCAGCGGCGAGTGCAGCCCTACAGGCGGAGGTCCGGAACCTTTCCGAGAGGCTCGAGGCACTAGCGGCCTCCTGCAAGCGGCGGGAAAAGGCGCAGGGGATAAGAGAGAAGACCAATGCCCTGGCGCAGTCGATGGAGATCAAGAGGATACAGGTCCTGGTTTCGCTGCCGTTGTTGCTCGTAAAACTACCGTAGCTACCCATGACTGGCCAAGGGCGTAGGGTTGTATCGGCAAATCGCGCAAACTAGCTGGTATTTTGAGATGCACAGGACTATGGGAGCTCGAGTGACATGTGCACTTGCATTTTCAGGCATCACGCAGCTCATTTCGTGCGCACTTTTGACACAAGACGAGGCCACCATCACACTGTGCTTGAAGGGGGAGACTTATCTCGTACAGGCGCATGTCTGTTGTTGTCGCGCTGCGTGGGAGTCTACCAAAGTCAGTGCCTTGAGTGGGGAAACGCAGGGGTGTACCCACGGGGACAACTATTTTTTGTGTTCAACAGAGCAAGAAGGCAAACTTGTTTTACCAGTATTACTGGGGGGGTTGATGAGCGAAAGGCTTTTTATCCAGTTCGTAGGAGGACAACGAAAACGGATTACCTTGTGCATACTTCACTGAAGGTAGGTTTCGCAGAGTAAGGTCTAATAGCGCTGGCTGACCAATGGAAATAATCCCTATTGACGCAGCCGGAGTATTGCGATTCGACTGGTTTAACCAGTCGAGCTGCCCCGGAGTATCGCCTGTAATACTAGGAATGCACGGTTCTCCAAAAGGTGAATACAGACAAGAGAGAGAGATAGAGAGAAGAGGACGGAACAGAGGCAGCACAGACAGCCGGCTAAAAGCGAGATAGTCAGAGCGAGATCAGCCAGGGAGTTGGAACCTGGGATGTCGGCGAGACCTGACGGGTCCTGGTACTCAACCTCAAAATGACCGCGGCCCGTTCGCCGCTCCTGCCTTCTTGTGACGGTGAAACGCCGATGGAATTGAGGCGACACAACTTGATTGTGCCCTTCCTCTCCCTGGCCATTTTTCCTACAGATGGCCATCGAGTCCCGGGTGACATCCGACGACCTGCAGCTCGCTGTGAGCGCCGCCGAGGACAAGATTGTTGCCGTACAGTCCGCTGTTGAGTCGGCGCTGAGCGACCGCTTTCGGAGGATGCAGGATGTGGTGCACCAGCAGGTGACTCTCCCTTGATGAAGCTCAGCCCCTCGGTTGCTCTCTTTTCACGGGTTCATGGCCAGTTGTTGTTGTTATTGTTATTGTTGTTGTTGTAGTCTTACATAAATAAAAACGTCCCGGTCTCCGCTCAGTACCTTCTAATCTGTACTGGTCCAATTGACGCAGACGCCTTCCAGTGTTGACGAACCAACCGCATGTTTCGTCTCCAAGGCGAGCAGAGTCCTTCTTCTTTCTTGCTGAGAGAACTGCGAGTGTGCCCTCCGCTTGGGTGGCAAGCCTCCGAAGCATGCGCGAAACGCTGAAAACATTGTCCGCAGTTCAACTGGTTCGGGTGAAGGTTTGGGTGGTGAAACCTCGCCGGGACTGGCAATCACTAGTTGGACTCGAAAACCCAACCTACTAGAGGGGGGGCGTATTCTTATGTTTCGCATGCCTTAGCCGTTAGACCATTGACCGCGCGTCCTCGAGAGGACGGAGCATTGGTTTCACAGGGGGGGGGACTGTTTGCGCTCGATGTCGACGAAGGGTGTACGAGAAGAGACACAGCAAGTACTTGAAGCTTTTCTGGCCTCTACCATAAGTTATATTGTATGGTTGTTGAAGCTTCAGTTGCGTGCGTGTGACCGCTCGGCGAGTGGTAGCACACGCCAGGAGCCGGAGTTCGTGTGATGCGTGTCGTACCTTCAGCATGATGGCAATTTCGTAACCACATCACTTTCGACTACACCAAAGAAGCAGTTTGTGGTTGCTACCTATCGTGTACCCACCACCTTCCTTCGCACACGCCGCCACTTCGTGCGTACACGTCAACGTGAGAAATCGCTACGTTTGCCGTGTTTCGGACGACTTTTTTCTTCGTGTGCTTCGCGAAGGCTTTGCCCTTGGAACTACGTACAAGCCAACGGCGCAATTCTTTGTGCTCTGTATCTTACTACGTATCTTCTTTCGCTTACGCGCGAAGTACATATGGTAGTGCAAGTTAATTGTTTTGAAGTGGATGAGGGTGTCGCCTTGCAACATGATCCTCTTTGTTAATTTTCAACCCACACTACGTTGCTTCGACGTCCAAGACGGTGATACTTCCCTCCAAATACGTAGAACAGCCCAACCAGAATTTTCGCTGAGTGAAGATTTAAGATTCATCAGCAAGAGCAACAGCACCAAGATCAATGAAGTGAAGCCGTGCGTTGACGCCGTCGAATACAATCCAGATTTGGTAGCAAAGAGCACAGATGTCCACCAACACTGCCACAGGAATCATTGTTTACACTTCCAAGCTTCTCCTTCACCCGTCTCATTTACCCGGTGTAGATGGCGAGCTTGCTGAGCATGGTTCAGGGGCTGACCCAATCGCAGGCCCGTAGGAAAGGAAGTGGGCCGCACGTCAATGCTCGCGGCAACCTAAGGTGTGGAATTGAGCGTACGGTTGACGGCAATTACACAGGAGCTCCTAGAACACCGCACTCTAGGCAAGGCTCACCCAGCTGTTTCGCAGACTAGGCTTGGCAGGCGAGTAAAACACAGCGCAATGCTGCAGGCCAACCTGTCCTGACCACGCTGGTCTCGACCGGTTGGCCTTTTTTGTTGGCCAAATGATGGTAGCGGCGGCCCCCGACAGCAGCGACGCGACGACGACATCGGGGACCCCGTTTTTTCACCATGCCCTAACAACGGATTGCATTAAACAACAGCAGTTGTTGTATTTCTTCAACAAGTTTGCCCTTTTTTGGTTGGCAAAATGGACGACCAGTGGCGGAGGCTACGGCGTCGGCCCCAACGGCAGCGACGACGACGATGACGACGACGACGAGGCGGCGGAGGCGGAGGCATTCAACAAGGCGGTGAAGGACGTCGTGGAAAGGGTGTTGCAGGAGGGGGGGGTCTCGGGGGGAAGCGGGCAGGGAGACGTCAAGATGGCGGACTTCGAGAGCCTGCAGGTGTCGTCCGTGTCTTGCGTAACATGTAGTGGACCCTTGGCCACAGAACGAGGCACTGGTCGACCCTAGCAGTTGGGACCACCTTCGCGAGATTAACAGGTTTGTGAGAAAATATAACAGGGAGGGGGTACGCAGACCCTATCCCTAAGCCTAACCCTATCCCAACTTCCCCGATCACATGCTTTATCCAACATGTTCACTTAATCGAAATAACCTGCGAAGTCTACTAAGTGGTTGGTAGAGGTCAACCCACCAGAGCGGGGTCTAACCTTCGACCCTGGCTCGGTATATTGCCGTTCGCTTGCTGCGTCCCCCTCCGCCGCGTTCTACTGGTCTTGCCTGGAAGACTCGGGGATAACACCTACATGATCACGTCAATTTCCACACCTTTGCATCCTTCCTGTCCTTGTGCGTGGCCCACCTGCCTGGCCCTGCGCCGCGG